TCAGGACAGTCAAAGGATGAAAGTAAATCTTTTTCAGAAACAAAGTAAGAGGGCTTTAGTTTTATTTTACCCTTGATTACCCCACTAATAGCTTTTAGGTTGGCTTTGCTGAGGCCTTTAAGCAGAGCTCAGATAGGATGTTTAGTGAACTACTCCATGTGGTCACAAAGAATGTTGGAGTCTTCTACTGAGTGGAAGGAGGAATCACTTAAGACCTCATGTGCTCCCAAGAGTGGAAGAAAGGTTAGTAGTAAAAGGGATAGGGTTTGACGAAGTGTTGTATATCTGCAAAACCTCTATCTTGAATATGACATTAGGATTCATATTCAAATCTAGATGATAATTGTTATTTTTTAGGTTTGCATCCAATAATAATAGATTGGAATAACAATGAATGCTAAATATTTCTATCATCCGTGTGACCAAAGAGATTATAGTGGATTTTGAATTGATTGCATCATGCAACCTTTTAAATACAATGTGACAGGTGATATAAATTGATTGTAGTGTGTAATTTTTTTGATACAACATGACAAGCGTGGGCACTTAGTAGGTGCACTAAAATAATACATTCAACGACATAATATGACGGTATAACATTGGCACCAAAGAGTCATTTGAAGAAGGGGGTGCAAGTAGGTCCATCATTTTAATATCATGTGTTGACTCATGATGCTGCCTTTCCTTTTATCTCTGGTACCAATGATTTCGTAAAAGTTTTTTTATAAAAAGGGCAGCAACAGTGAACATGAATCCAAGGTCTAAAGTTAGGATCATTATTATCCTGAAGGATATACTTCCTATTAATACTTAAGTTCCCATCGATGGGACTCTATCCAAAGAAGAAGAATTAGATATGGAAGAAGGGAGGTTTTAGATTCAAAGAGCCAGGTTTTATGCTCAAACATGATTTGTGATGATTTAAAAGATTCTATGCTACCGAATCCATACATCTTGTTTATGGGGATTGGTAATACTCATTTCTATATGAATCTAGGCATAATTGTCTTATTCAAGGTTAAAGGAATTAGGATTAATTTTTATGGGATGACCAAGAAGGAAAGTGATTTGGAAGAGAGAATTCTCATTCTAATATTCCATTAGTAAACTAGAGAGTTTGATCCAAAAGGGGTAGAATCTATTCTCTTAATAATAAGTTAAAAATCTAGTTTCTAAGGGATGAGTTAAAGAACATCCTCTCCAAGGAGATTCCAAGGTCCTTTAGTAAGGACCTTAATAGCATCGTTTTCAAATTGAAAATGAAAGAGAAAAAAATCAACCTCCAAGAATCAATAAAGGAGAATAAACAGATTAGATATTAATAAAATATTTTATAAACTGATAAAAGATGGATGAAAGAATTTATCGATTAGGTATAAAGCCCAAAGTTTCTACCATGTCAACAGTTTTTCTTCTTTAAGCTAGACAAAATCTAATATGTAGGATTTTATCTGATCCAAAGGAGAGCAACGAAGTAGGTTTCCTATGGTGTTTATCATAAAGAATGGCTTTGCAGAGAGAATAAATATCGAGGATATCTTTTCGAAAGAAAAACCAATAACTCAAGACTATAGTTCAAGAGAAACATCAAGGAGAATAATGAAGGAAAGAAGAATTTGGGAAAGGTGAATATGACATTGTTTTCTTTGTCGGGAAGTCTATTCATCCTCACAGCTACTTTTTAACTTTGGCTAAACATAAAGAGACATGACAAATGATTAAAATATTTTTTTAAAAAAAATTAAATATTATATTTTTTAAATATACATATATTTAAAACAAGAGAGTTATTAAGTTAAGAGTAATATGATAATCTAACCTACTAAAAGCGATCTTATAACACTGTTAGCATTTAAAACTAATGAAAGGAATATTTTTACAAGGACTAATTTTGAAGAGCGTTGATATAATTGAACAGTATTATGTGTATTTTGTGTGTATATATATATGTATATATATATATTTGTGTGTGTGTATATATGTGTATATATATACGTGTGTATATATATATATATATATACATGTATATATATGTGTGTATATATATACATATATGTATACATATAGATATATATATATATATATAAATATATACATATATGTATACTATATAAATATATATAATATTAAAATTCATAAAAGCCTATAAAGATTTCTTTTGGATGCTTAAAATGTTCAGAACATATTGGTTGCTCTTCTTGTGAAGCATTTAATTACGACACAGAAAGCACATGCTGTTACTAATCCAATATGTAGAAAATATAATGAGGAGTGGTTGCTAGTCTCTTTTAAATCATTGGTTGCGAAGGTGATGCGACTCATGGCTTTTCTGGTTCCTTAGGTTCACTTTCATCAGCAGAATAGAATAGAAGAGGGATAAGCTCTTGACCAACTCCAATAATGCATAGAGTAAACTTGTTTGATGCGGCTGACTTGTACTTGGGGGAAGCGTGCACATCAGACAGCCCAACAAGCATTATTAGAAATTTTGTGGCTCTCATTCCTATTAGTTGTATTTTGGCAACAATTCATGGAAAACATCATCTTGTTTTTCCATCATCTTTATGTATATTTGTTCATTCCTTTCTGGATGTAAAATTATTAAGCATTGTCAATTCATCTAACAACTTGAGTCCATTATAGATGATACAAGATCTATCAATTTATGTTCTTATTCTTGACCAGTTGTTAATATAGACGTTATATCATTGTCCCGTCGCTAGGGTAGAATATTGTATGACTTGGACTTGCAGATGGATATTCTTCTCAGTTTAGTTTAGTTGAGAAGTAAAGTTAGACTTCCACTTGGACGACTTCATATGATAAGAAGCGTGCGTCGGACCACAATGATCATTTTACTACAATGAAAAGTCAACAAGAAGTATCTACAATGGTTCACGTCAAGTATTTACGTTTTAGAGATGTGACAGCAAGCGGACCAAAACACATACCGACAGAAAGATGACTGGGATATATCTGTGGCTGTTCATGCCACGTTCATTTCAAACTATGACAGGAAGGGTGTGACCTCAAACTTCAATGATTGGGAAATATCTAAGGTTTTCATATCACGTTAACTAAGAAATAATCATGACCAAAAGTGGTTCGAAAAATCACGACCAATTCTAAGGCCAAACTATAAAGTGATCAATTGGAGTAAATCCCAAATCGAAATGACAAAAAAAAAAAATCTCATTATAATACTTGTTCCGAATGATCAACAATCTTATCCTTGCAAATAGGATCTATAAGCCTCTTCTAAATTTCTAACGTGAAAATGAACTAATCAAATTGGATCAATCTTGCATACGGAAAAGGGTGGATCATGTGGCAATGTTAGAGTGAAAAGGGAAATGAACAAAAAAAAAAAGTAGAAAAGAGAGAAATAAAAAAAAGAAGAGAATTGATTTATGATTTAGGGAAAAGTGGATTTTCAATTATTGATGTTTGTTTTAATAATTTGCGATCTATCTTATTTTTAAAATAATAATTTTATTTATTTATAATTTATAAAAAATATAATTTACCTGATTTGGAAAAAATTTTATTATTCAAAAAGTATTGCAAAATAATATGTGATTTGCAAATATTATTTGAAGCACTTATGGGTGCAGAATAAATTTTTGAAACAATATATAATTCTGCCCATATAAGGTAAGGGTTTAGAGGAGGGGTCGGTGGCTTTGGTTGGGTGCAGTGATATGGGAAGGATTTAGGATGGTTTAAGATGTTTTGGGTCAGGTTCGGGTTTCTAGAAAAATATCACTAGATCAAACTGATGCTACTATTGGTCCCTTTTTCTTTTTTTTGGGTGTATAATCAAGAGTTAAGGCTAAGTAACATCCTCTCCAAAAAATTTAGTGGGTAAAGATGGTTGCCAATTTATGTTTTTGTCAACAAAATATATAGATATATCATGATTAATAATATGATCACTGATAAAATAATATCTAATATCATTGTAATTGATCCAACAGTGTATTATATGATTTTTTTTATCAAACATATTGCATGAGTACTATTATCCTTGGTAGAAATATTTTTCAATCAAATTTCATAATATTCAATTATGTATTTTATCCAAATTACTTATACATGACATGTATCTAATACAATATATTATACTTCAATAGATAATGTGATAGAATATTAATTTTGGATGACCAAAAAAATAAATATATAACCAAGGAATTAATAATTTACAAAGGTAAATATTATTTTTATATCTATTTCATATCCTACAGAAATCAATATCATTATAAGTAATTAAATTAATTTTTTTAGATTTAAAATATCATAATCTAAATTTGATGTTTTTTTAAGTATTTAAAAAATTCTTTTATAGTTTGAAAGTGAGATTATATGAGATTTTATTAAAATCTAACACAAATATCTATACTTAATATAATATCCGAGTTGTTGATCGTGATGTATAATAATCCTTTTATCATGTCATTATACGTCTATATAGACATGGGTCTGTTAGTAGATGTACTCATGTTCTCATGGGTCCATTAATCATCATGTTAAAATTTTGAAGTCTTATGTATATTTAATTTGACTAATAAAAAATTAATTATTTATTTATCCAATTTATAGAAATAAAAAATTTAATTCATCTATTTGTAATTCCAAACTATAGTTTAGGTTTTATCAAATAATATATGAGAATTTTGTCTACTTGATTTCTTATTGACAAGTTGTGAGTTTATCGGTTAGTAATAAGTTCAGTATATCAAATAATCTTTGGGCTGGATTGTGCACGTCACAGGTAGTCTACTAGAAAGTTAAATTTAAATTATCTTGGATTATAGTTGAAGGCTCCAATAATCTCACGTAAAAAAAATGAAAGATAATTACAACGATATATATGACTAAATGGACAAAATAAAATTTGCTTAATCAGGTTTTAGATCATGTGGTCTCTGATCGGTTTAACCAAATCGTCGCATTAATAAAGCTATAGAGCCGAGGTGTAATAAAAATTATGACCACCGGACAACAAGAATAGCATTGGATAACAATTAAAAAGATAACAATAGCTGTCATGAGTGATGGCTAGGAACATTTCTAAGCCAATATTAGACATGATCAAGTGAGGACACAAAAGGTTTTGGAGGCATCTGCAAGCTTTGCAAGGTTCCTGTCAGCATCTGAAGTACTCTAGTCATGGAAGGCCGATCAGTTGGACTCCATTGAATGCACCACAGAGCCACAATAGCAAGTTTCTTCACGATTTCTTCTTCTTCTCCCTCCATCTCCATCGCCAATCCCAGATCCTGCCTGTGAACTAGTCGGTCATATACCCATTCCGGAAAATAGATTTCGTTCTGCTTTCCGATCTCAGGGTCATGATTCTTCCTACCTCCTACCATTTCCAAGACCAGCATGCCAAAACTGTAGACGTCGGATTTGTAAGAGACCGTTCCAAAGTTTCTGGAGTACATCTCCGGCGCGATGTAGCCCATGGTGCCTCTCGCAGCGGTCATGGTCACAATGCTCTGCTCCCTCGAGCAAAGCTTTGCAAGACCAAAGTCTGAGATCTTTGGATTGAATTCATGATCCAAGAGAACGTTGTGGGGCTTGATGTCGAAATGAAGAATGCGTTGCTCGCATCCCTGGTGTAAGTACTCGATGCCCCGGGCAACGCGTATAGCGATGTTGAGCAACTTCTCCATGTTCAGAGGTGGTTTATCGGCTCCACTAGCTTCTCTTGAGAAAATGTACTTCTCCAAGGACTCATTGGGCATGAATTCATAGATGAGAGCGCGACTTGATCTCTCGGAGCAGAATCCCAGGAGGCGGACGATATTGACATGGTGAATTCTTCCGATGGTTGCTACCTCGTTGATGAACTCTTCGCCCTCCCCTTTAGATCTCTCCAGCATCTTAACTGCTACAGGGATTCCATTCGGTAGTTCGCCTTTGTACACACTGCCATATCCCCCTTGCCCCAGCCTATCCTTGAACCTTCTGGTGATCTTCTTAACATCAGCGAAAGTGTATCGTGTTGGTTTTGCATCACCATATGTTGCTAGAAAATTTTCAACCTTCAAACGTGTTTCTTCTTCTTTTGTAGATTTCCTTCGAACGTAGAATAGAATGAGTGCTGGCAACAAAACTAGAACAAATCCAGCGGTACAAGTGCCTGAGAAGAAAAGCAATGGGGTAATATATAGTTAATTAGAAGGTAAAGATGATGAGCCTCTCTACAAGGAAAAAGAAAAGTGGATTTACAGAAAATTTATTTTTGAGGAAAGGGTTATTACAAGCTACATTATATATGTTTTCCCAGGAAAAAAATGACCAGCACACTCACCTACAATAATAATCTTAATGTTTGAACCTGCAAACAAGCAGAGGAGATCAGTCAGTAAAAATTCATTTTGTTCATTGTTCGACCGACGATTCTGTATTAATCTTTTGCAATAAGGTGGTGGAGAAATGAGAAAACCCAGAAGCAACAAAATGACCGACACAATCTTCCTCTCACTCCCTAGAGTGAAGTAGATAATATCTGCAGTTACCATCACCTCGAAAGAGTTGATGCATTAAGCAAAGAAGAGAGTCACATACATCAAATATTATGTCTGAGAAGATCACGTAACTTCTGGCAGTCTCTCACATAGTGAGGGTGCATATGGATTGAAGTTCCTGATTTTTCACTTTTTTGTTTTGTAGTCCAGCAAAGTTTTGCGAGAAAACAAACCAAAAAAAATCGAATAGGGAAGGCTAATTGGTTTGAGAATTGGAAGCTCACCGTGATGCCGGGTTATACAGTAGGTTTGGTTTCCGGTGCGGTTGAATCCACAGGGCTTTCTTGCTTCTTCACATTCTCTGCATATACGGGTCTCTGGCACAGAAATTCGAAGATTCATTTCTTGCGTTCGGATGAATTTCTGCACATTTTCTTCCCATGATCCAGAATCGTAAGGGATCCAGCCATCGGTTGAAGAAGTCACCATGCAAACAGAAGGAAGATCGCCCATAGGCTCGGAAGAATCCGCTGCATAAACGTAGTGACTTCCATTGCCAAGGCACGGGATCGGTCCGGTGATCCACGCCGGATCTGGTGTAAATTTTCCTGAGCAATTCACGAAAATAAGAGCTTGCAAATAAGTTTCGTAAAATGGGCTGCCGGTGAGGTCGATGGAACTGAGCTTTTGCAGTGGGCACGGAGACCACGACTCTCCCAACTTGATTCTGATTTCGCCATAATAGTAGTCGATGGAGATCACCGTGCAGAGTCCTAACGGGGGAAGTGAGAGGATGGCGTCACCGCCAGAACACGAAAGCTCCAAGCCTTGAACGCCACAATAAGGAGGACTGGATTTTAGGCGGAAGGGGTATCTCACAGTTATTCCTCCACATCTCGTGGTCCGGCAATCCTTCAGGAAGTCGTCTTCCTCTTTGTTCCCCCAAGTCTTCTTGTCCGAAGCATGGACGAACAGGAGGAAGAGTGTACAGAGGAGCCGATTCATGGCCGCGCGGAGGGATTGATTCACAAAGGAAACTGATCAGGAATTTGAATCGATTCTGTAGCGTCTCACAATGACTCGATCAGTTTTGCATCTAATTACTGCCCCAAGCCTGAGGCTGCAACAATCAAATTGATGTTGCAGTCAAGTCCTAAACTTGGTCAGTCAAAAAGTGGACCCTCACTTTCAGGTAACATTAAAAAAGGAAAACGAGTTGATTGACCCGCGGAAGTCGCCCGCCCCCTCACGCGGGCTTCCGGTCCTTTGTTCAAAACATCATCAAACAGGACGCTAGTGTTAGGAAATAGTCTGTAATTTACTTAAGCAAGTCGGTGACCATAAATCGACAGTAAAAAATAAAACAAATAAATTTTTTTGAAACTAGTTGGTTTATTATATGTGGTTTAGATTAATTATTTTACTTATTTATTTAGGTTGATTTACTTGAGTAAACTTTTAAGAATCTATTAATTTCTTTATATAAGCTTACCAAAAGTCAAAAAAATAAAATAAATAAATTTTTTTGAAGTTAGTTGGTTTATCATAGGCTGTTTAGATTAATTATTTTACTTATTTTTTAGGTTGATTCACTTGAGTAAACTTTTAAGAATCTATTAATATCTTTGTATAAGCTAACAAAAGTCAGCATAACATTTCATATAAAAATAATTAAACTATGCTTATTCTCTATTTGTCTTTTTTTCTTTTACTTTTCCAATATTCAAGGTATTTTTTCATAATAATGAATTAGAAAAATAATATCATAGTTTATGAGATGAAAACCATTGGCCTTTTTTTTTCATTTTACTATGGAACTTGTATTGTTAGAGTGGATAATAGTAAATGATATCTCCATCTCAAAGGTATGGACTTTTAAAGATTATCACGTATATGTGAAGAGGTACCAGTTTACATAATACCCTATGGATGCATTTATTGGTCATGGTGAAGCAAAATATGTGCTATCGATCTATCCTCATCTTTATATCTTTCTTAATCTAATCCAACTGTTGTAGGTTCGGATGATATGTGATTTATAGGCTAAGTTTTTGGATTAAGCTTATCAATATAAGGTCTTTTGATTGTCATTGTTGATGACTTCCTGCTTCATCTGAATTTTCAATGTGAAGAGCTCTTATTAAACCTCTAGACAAATGGACAAATTCAAATCTATAACCTTTAGCTTCACCTTCAATAATAGACTCAAATATGCATGTAGTGAAAGGAAGAAATCAGTTTGCAATGAACACGAAGAGCTTAAAGTAAATGAAAACCAGATTTATAGTGGTTCGATCATCGTGACCTACATCCACTCCCGATTCCTCTTCACTCGAGGCCACCGGCTTCCACTACCGATCTTCTTTCAATAGGCAAAAATCAACTATCATTTTACACCACTTTTTCTTCTTTTCACAGGTTTAGGAGATAACATTTACAACTACTCACCTATCTCTTAAACTTCACCCAACACTTAGAGCTTGAGAGGAGTTCTCATAATATTACGACGGTGTTTTCTTTCTTTTTTGCTCTCAGTTTTATAAACCGAGCAAGGATGAGTGGGGTTTTCATAAGCCCCAAATGACTTCAAAAAGTGAAGTCAAAATCCAAATCCCTGAGATTTTGGGGTACTAGCGGTACCACTACCTAGTCTAGCGGTACTACCGCCTAACAATCTAACACTAGGCAGTACTGCTAGTCATAGGTGCCCTGCAAGCCAATCACGTAAGTGATGACACGTGTAACTTGACACGCAGTCCTTTTGCTTATTATTATTATTTGATATTTTAGCACTTTATATTACCTGTTGCATGAATATATTATGATGTTCATAGATCTGTGCAATGAGAATCGGATCCTGATGAGATCATGATAATGAGACTGATTTGCGGTTAAACACATATACTAAATAATCCCGATCATAGGTTACTTGAGAGGGACATCGAGATAACCGGATAGACTAGTGTACTGTATACCCGTCCATATGATGGATACAGTTGGTCTCATAGCTACTCGTGTGGGGACACTAGGGATATAGTACAGGTGCTCATTGGAGAATGAGTTCATTGATTAATCCTCTTATGGAATGTTGGGTGATTGATGATACCTTATTGTTAGACAACGATTCCATCATCTCAGTGGTATATTATCTGGTCCTTAGACTTGAGACACTAAGGATGTCTTGTATGAGTACCACTCTTTGATACTAGACTTATAGGTCTAGAGGTTTCAAATCTAGCATAGCCAGGCATCGGGAGTGGTAGCCAATCTTATGAGGGCTATTGGATGTCAAAAGAGGATCATTTGCTATCGGTGTCATGAGAGGAATATCTCATGTGTTCTTACTCAGATAAATCCCTAACCAGGGTCATTCAAATTGAGAGAGAACGAGTTCTCCGGAAGAATATGATTAGAGTGAGACTGTAGAAATTGTATGGGCCTGACAGCACCATGCCCGGCATACGATTTTTGGGATATTAGATTGATGAGGGACTATAAGTACATAGTAAATGAGGATATATAGGTCAAAAAGATTAGATTCCCTTATATTGTTTGGGGAGTGCGGCGTAGTGGCCTAGTACATCCGCAATCGATGAGTCGAGTGAATTATTATGGAGATAATAATTCATTGAACCAAAAGGAGTTTTGATAGATATGACTCACGGCCAGCTTGATATTGGGCCTAGAGGGTCACACACATACGGTAGGCATTGTGACGAGTAGAGATTTGGATATGAGATATCCGTTGGAGCCCCTATCTTATTGGATATCCAATAAGCCCTTAAATTATTGGATCCTATAGATGAGATACAATAAAGGCTAATAAGAGATTATTGGGTAGAGACCCTATAGGGAAATATAGGGGCGATATCACATGCGCAGTAGAAGAACATAAAATAAAAACCCAAAATTTTCAATGTGTTCATCGTCGTGCGAAGATTAGTGTGCAAAATCCGCAAAATCGAAAAACTGCATGTCAAAAAGATAGTTATATTATCTAGGGAGATCATGTTGAATCTCGGATTTTAATGATGAAATCAATTATAAAGTGTTTGATCTAATCTATATGTTGAGAAAAGTGTGCAAGATTAACTACGATAGCAGTAAGATATAAAGCAGGTGTTGTGCCGGAGTCAAGATTGAGATCTTATTGGAAGTTCAAGAGTTTATCGGAAGTCCGAACATTTGTCGGAAGTTCTGCTAGAACCAATTGAGAAGTCCAAGAGCTTTCCAAAGAAGCTTGTCGGAACTCACTAAGAAGATCGTCGTAAAGTCAAGGAGCTTGTTGGGAGTCCACCGGAACATTATCAAGAGTTCATCGAAAGATCGCTGGAAGCTCGCCGGAAGAGTAATTGACGTATCAGAACAAGAGTGCTTTGATTATGTCTTAGTTATTATAGTTAGATAGTAGATTGAGTTAGAATTGGAAGGTAATCCCACTAACTTAATTAAGGGCCAATTAGGCCCTTAACAAGGCTGGATTGGGATGGATTGAATAGCCCATTCAGCCCTTAAAAATATGGCCAGCGGTGGCATCTCCTAGTGACCCAATCCCCTAGGTGGTCTGGGAGGTGGTACCGCCTAGATTGGGTGGTGGTACCGCCGACAGTTAATGCTGCCAACGGTGGTACCACTCCTGTTAGGTGGTGGTACTGCTAGAGCTTGGTCTCCGAGCTCTGTCAAGCGGTGGTACTACCCAGACTAGGCGATGGTACTGCCCACTGTCAGACTGCAAATGGTAGTACTACCGAATAATGGCGGTGGTACCGTTAGTATCCCGAAATCTAGAGATGTGATACTTTTTGGCTCTAATTCCGAAGTCAATTGGGGCCTATAAATACCCCAACCTTTTCTACATAAAAGCGCACGAAAGTATTGGCATAATCCTGAATTCTTGAGTGTTAAAGTGTTGTAAAAAGTGCTAGAGGCCTCCTCCTACTCTTTCTAAGTGTTGAGATCATTCAAGAGAGGTGTGAGACTTGTAAGGGTTTTCTCCTAAGCCTGTGAAAAGGAGAAAGCACTGTAAAAGGTGATTGGTCTTCCCCTATTGAAGGAATGTCATTAATGGACATTGGTGACCTCGACAGAAGAGGAATCCGAAAGTGGATGTAGGTTACAACAATCGAACCATTCTAAATTCTGGTTTGCTTTTCATTTGTGCAATTTAAATTACTACAAACCTCCTTAATCTTCTCTTTACACTTTTATGAAAGCTTTCAAATTCAATCTCTCTCCGAAACATATTGAATCGAAACGAATATTTTTCGGAATCGGGTTTAATTGGGAAAGTTTTTCGCTGCACTAATTCACCCCTCCCCCCCTCCTCTTAGTGCTCTCTTGATCCTAATATATTGTATATCCCTGAATCCCTACAAATATGTAGGAATGGATGAAGGAGGTCAAGCATCCTCCACTCTAGTGGTGATCTACATAGTAGGGCTACAACGATGCTCCTCAAATCTCTAGGCCTGTTATTTGAGGAGGAGAAGGAGAGAGGAGAATAGGAGGTGGCAACTAAGAAGCCCCAGCCTATGGGCCTTTAGTTCCCTCTTATTTATAGAGGCCCCTATGTCACGGACAAACTACGAAACAAGATGTTTGCTATAATGCTTATGTATGTCAGTGTCTTTTGGTATGTTCATGCTTTGCACAGCATATAGAGGGACGATCAAAGGCTTAATAGTCCCATTTTAGTTGGGTTTGGTGGCCGCTTTAGGCTTGTAAATAAAGGTTGTGTCATGTAGACACTTGTGAGAGATTTTCGATTTATAGTGGACCATTTTGACCCTTTGTTGTGCAACTATTCAGAGCTTGTAAAGTATGTTTGTAATTTGCATTGTCTATGAAGTGTTTTCGAAAATGTTTGCTTGTGGATCTCGAATGAGGCATTTTCTCTAACCCGTTCTCTCTTTTGTGGGTCCTAAGGGACCATGGGAAGCTTCGGGGAGGCTGACCTTTACGGACGGACACACAAGGGTGCCATACGACTTAGGCAAAACCAGCTAAGTCCATGAAAGATGGTATTAGAGCGGGACAAGCACTCATAGAAACACTTGACATGCAAACGTGGGGGACCTAGCGGGGTTGCGTTGGGGGCAGT